GAGCAAGGGTAATGACTGTGAATATAGTCCCTATATTTTCTCTAGCATGGAAAATGAAACAGAATAGACACAGGAAGTGTGGTGACCTTTGCTGAGGATCTGCTGGGTCAGGCCAGGTGCAGTTTTTATCTCCCTTTCTCTCTCTCTCTCTCTCTCTCTCTGTCTCCACAGTCCCGGGTTAAGTGGCCTCATTACCTTTACTGTCCCTAGGAGAGCAGCAGCAGAGGGAAGAAGTTGCTCAGTTACTCAGCATTGAGCAGGTGTCTTGTTTTCAACCTACACACTGCTGCTGGACCAGACAATCAGACGACCCCCTTCCCTCGGTTATTTCATTTACTGAAGTAAAAGAGGACCAAGAAAAGAGGTGCAGCTTTGATCTGACCATGCAAAAGCCCAAATGATAAAAACACGTATTATTTCAAGTCATGAAATTATGGCATGCTTCTTTGGGGGACCTGTCCCGGCCTTCTGGGCTGACCCTTGACATGACATTCCGTGTTCCCGTTTTTTAGGCAAAAGAGTGGGTGGAAGGTGAAAGTCCCAAGTGTGGCTCACACGCTCGTCTCAGTAACATATTCAGGGCCCCTTGTTTTTTTGGCTTTCTGCTGCCAGCTCAGCTCCTTCCACTGGCATTCCTACTGCTCACAGTCCTCTTGTCCTTTTCTGGACAACTTGACGCATTTTGTGCCACGGATCTTGAGAAACATCTGGTCAAAGTGGCCAACTAGGAGGGCAGGCTTGGCAGGGAAACAGGCAGGATGGTCCAGAAAACAAAAGCGGATCAGGGTTCAGGTGATGACTGCTTCTGTGACAGCCCCCAATTTGACCCTCACCAGTTCAGGAGGACCTTCACGCAGATTCCAGCCACGCTGAGGCTTTAGGGGCAATGCAGGGTGACGTGGAGGGACCTCAGACTTCCTGGGTGTCCCTTTCAGCACACAGCCTGAGAGCACATGGGTTCCTGAGCAAAATGGGAAGCAGAAACCCCAGGCGGGGGTGGGAGCTGGAAATCCCCCTGTCCTGGGGTGGGGCTCACTTTCTTCCTTCCCTAAAATCTGGGGTGCTCCCTCCCTGGACGTGGAGCTGATGGCAGGAGCCTGGCTCCGGGGCTGATTGGGGGTAGGGGGGCAGACGACGACGACACGAGGAGCTCAGTGCTGACCCCGGGGGGTCGGGAAACACGAGGGGCCAAGTGCTGACCAGTGCAGACCCCTGGGGTTCGGTGGGGTCACCCTGCTTTTGGGTTCTCTTGGCTGGGTTTTCATGGGGAGGTCAAAGATCACGGTCAGAGGGCCCCCCCCACCGGGCTTCAGCAGCACCCGTGCAAGAGTGGGACACCTGCCCTTCTGCGGCCACGCGAACGCCCCGAGGCCGCGATGGACATGGTCCAGTTTGCGGACCGCCGCGTGCAGGCGAAGAGTCCTCCCTCCTCCCCCACCGCGGCCCCGCGTGGCGGGCGTCAGGCCCAGGGCGAGGAGGAGAAGGGGGAAGAGGAGACCCTCGGGGCCGCCCGCGAGGACGGGGTCAGGAGGCGAGGGCGCATGGGCGCGTGGGCAGATGGCCGGGCGCGCGCTCGCCGCCGATCCCCGCGGAAAGAACGGGGGGGAGGGGCGCGCAGAGGCGGGGCGGAGGGAAGTGGGCGGGGCGTGCCGTTGTGGGCGGGGCGCGCGGAGGTGGGCGGGGCGCGCGGCGGTGAGCGGGGCGTGCCGTTGTGGGCGGGGCGAGCGGCTGTGGGGGGCGCACGGCTGTGGGGGCGCACGGCTGTGGGGGCGCGCGGCGGAGCGAGAAGCTGTGGGCGGGGAGAGCGGCTGTGGGAGCGCACGGCGGTGAGTGGGGCGTGCCGTTGTGGGCGGGGCGCGCGGCGGAGGCGAGCGGCTGTGGGCGGGGGGCGGCGTGGGGGCGCAGCGGCGGTGGGGGCGCACGGCTGTGGGCGGGGCGCGCGGAGGTGGGCGGGGCGAGCGGCTGTGGGGGCGCACGGCTGTGGGCGGGGCGCGCGGCGGTGGGCGGGGCGCGCGGAGGTGGGCGGGGCGAGCGGCGGTGAGCGGGTCGTGCCGTTGTGAGCGGGGCGGGGCCGCGCGTTGGTGGGCGGGGCTAGCAGCGGTGGGGGCGCACGGCGGTGAGTGGGGCGTGCTGTTGTGGGCGGAGCGCACGGCGGAGGCGAGTGGCTGTGGGCGGGGCGCGCGTTGGTGGGCGGGGCGCGCGTTGGTGGGCGGGGCGAGCGGCGGTGGGGGCGCGCGGCTGTGGGTGGCGGCGCGCGTTGGTGGGCGGGGCGGGGCGGCGATGCTCCCGGCACTTTCTCCCCCCCGTCGGGGCGCGACGGCGGCAGTGGCTCCTCGATCTGGGACCGGACGGGACGGGACGCGCTCCCGCCGCCGCCGCTCGCCAACATGGCGGACCTGGAGGCCGTGCTGGCCGATGTCAGCTACCTGATGGCCATGGAGAAGAGCAAGGCCGCGCCGGCCGCCCGCGCCAGCAAAAGGATCGTCCTGCCCGAGCCCAGGTACCGGCTCTCCGCGCCGCCCTCCGCCCCACGGCCGCCGGGACCCCGCGCCAGTGACCTCGGGAGCATGGCCCGCTTCGCCGTGCCCGTCCCTGAAATGGGGCCGCGGAGCGCTCGGGGACGGGGACACGCGCCGGCGAGGGGCTGCGACAGGGCTGGAGCCCTCTTCTGCCCCGCCCCTGCCCTCCTGTCCTCCTGTCCTCCTGTCCCTCCTCCTGTCCCTGTCTTCCTTTTGTCCCCGTCCTCCTGTTCCTCCTTCTGTCTCTCCTCTGTCCCCGTCCCTGTCCCTCCTTCTGTCCCTGTCCTTCTGTCCCTCCTTCTGCCTCCATCCCTTCCCTCCTCCTGCCCCGGTCTTCCTTCTGTCCCTCCTTCTGTCCCTATCCCTGTCCATCCTTCTGACCTGTCTCTGTCCTCCTGCGTGTCTCTCTTTCTGTTCCTCCTGTCTCATCCCTGTCCTTCCTTCAGGTCCCATTCCTCTCCAGCCTTCTTCCCAGTCCCTGTGGTCCTCTTTGCTCTGCTGTTGTGGTTCCCTGCCCTTCTTTCCTGCTCTGTCCCCATCCCTCCTCTGGCTCCATCTTTGTCACCCCTCGTGCCCTGGCCTCAGCCCTGCCTCAGCCCCATCTTTCTGGCCTCTCTGCCCCATCCATGCATGTCACCGTCTCAGGTCCTCAATGCCTTTCCAAGTCCATCCACTCTGGTCCCCTGGGTCCTTTGTCCCCAGCACTTAAACTGTTTGCACGGCTCGTGGGCACTGTCCATTTGCCTGCTCAGCTCTGCCCACCAAGGAGTGAGTGGATTTTGACCCCCTGCTTTTCCTTTCTGGTACCAAGCATGTCCTCTGGGCTACTTTTCCCAACTTGAACAGTGTCTGGTGGACTTCGTAAAAGGTTGAAATGAGATTCACTTACAAAGCATATTGGTTGGGTGGTACAGGCAGGGATTTGTTGCTAAAGTACCCAAGAGGGGCACCCATGGAATTGGAAAATGTCCCCCGTGATTTATCCTTGATTTTCCTGAGATTTCATTGATCTTCACTGGTTCCTCTCGTCAGTAAGCACCACCCTAGAAAAGGTGAATAGCGCACTTGCACCACTGTGCAAAAGAGACGAAGAGTCCACCCTACCTCCGCCCAGTGCTGGGGATGCAGACGTAGGCCTCACACTTGCAAGTAACTATTTTACCCTGAGCTATGATCACACCTTCACACCAAGGCGGTGATCACCAGATTATTTTGCTCTGGAACCTGTGACATGGAAAACTTATCCCTTTTCAGGAGTCTGCTGTGAAAAAGAAGACTGATGGGCTGTGGGGGGGTTGGCTCCCCGCCCTCTGGACAGTTTGCAGGGTAGCATGTCTTCCTCCCTGATAAGCCAAGGGGTGAAAATCAGTAAAGGGCTGGCCTTTGAGGGGTGTTGTGAGTTGGGTGCTCCTAGGGTTTAAGGTAATAGGAATTTTATTAAGAAAAAGCTGCACAATTCTTTCCTTGTGATACACAAATGCTCAATGTCTTTCTCCTGCATTTCCTCTCCCCTTCTACTGCCAAGGGATAATCTTAAGCATGTGCAGTTTCTATACATAAAATCAACAGATCTGGTTTTTTTTGAGGGGATGGTAGGGAAGGGGATATAATTATTACTAAAATTAGGAGCCTCTGTTCATGTTTTTCCTTGGTATTTTGAACTTAATGTGACTTCTGTTTTTTAGCGTTCCTTAAGAACACTTTTTTAGTGCCTTTTTGTTTTGGTGAGATGCTTTGGAAATGCTTGATGCTTTTTTTTTTTTTTTTTCTTTTTTAAGTACTGGGGATTGAACTCTGGGCCCAGCTCTCCAAACTCTGGATCTTGCGAGCCACGCCTCTAGCCTGTTTGCTTTTTCTAGTTTTGCAGCTAGGGTCTCTCTCAGTAATGCTGTCCATTAGAACTGAGAAAGTCCACAAGAGAGTAATTTTAGGAAACAGCCCTTGGGTAATTATTACTTTGTTGCTACTTTCCAAATAGACTTCAATTAAGCCTTGGCTAGGGATAGGATTTGTTTTGTGTTTATCTCAGTGGCTTTGGCCTGGCTTTGTAGTGTAACCTTTTACATAGTAACTGTCACACCCTGTGCTCAATAGGATTTTGTTAGTTGAGATGATTAGGTTAAAGCATGTTGCAAGTCTTTCTCTGCCTGTGGGTGACAGCTACCTGCTTGATGTGGGAGAGGAAGTTGGAGCTTTTCTCTAAAGACAGGCCAGTTAATTTCATGGTGAAATGAAGCAGAGCTGTTGACTGAGAAAGCCAGCATGGTGTTCTTTAGGAGTGGTGTTCTTTAAGAGTTCCTGTCTCGGATTCACTTTGGAGGGAGGCATCTGATCTAGTCTTCAGTGTTCTGGGAAAAAAAGTTCAGACTTGTATTTATTTATTTATTTATTTATGTTTGTGTCTGAATAGGAAGCAGACATTGTTAACTTGAAACTGGGCTATCGCTGTTTATGTTTTAACTTCCAGCTAATTATTTGAGGTCACAATAACAGATAATGGAAGTACACTGTATCTCACTAATGCAAATGAAATCCCGGGCCTGCCCTGCTGGCCTCCCCTGTCCAGCACTGGAGCACTGGCCTCCCAGGGATGGCCAGAGGCAAACATTTTGTTATGTTGACACATTATTCAATTAAGGAACCAATGAGCATAAATCCTGCAGAGGCTGAGTATGGCTCCTAATGACGGAGCTGCTTCAGTTTGCGGAAACGTTTGCTGAGCTAATGGGCTGATAAAGGAGCCTGTGGGAACTAACCACAACTGTGACCTAGAGGTCACCCTGCAGGCCCAGCCGAACAGGGCCAGTTGTACCATGGGGTTAGGAAAAGAATCCTTTTATTGATCCACCAGGGAAGGCCCTGGAGACCTGGCCTAGTTAGGATAGCTTTTACATTAGGTTCCACCCTTTTCTTCTTGAATTGCCTGGAAATCAGCATTCTTGAAAGAGGTTGGGCAACCTGAACTTGATCTTCAGACCCTGAAAATGCTGGGGCGTCCATTGCAAAGCTGCCTTGGCAAGTTCTCACACAGTGTGATTGGTGATCTGAGAACATTAAAGATTCTTTATACTGTCTGTGACCCCAATTCAGTGTGTAGTTGTACAGCCATTTGTAGGAACCAGGCCTGGGGAGTCACCCTCAGCCCTGCCTGGCTGTCATTTAAGGAGTTCAGTGGGAAACTCAGAGTGGGGCCACAAAAGAGGTTTGCTTCTTGGTGTGGCAGCTTGAAGATCTGTTTGCCCGTGGACAAGCAGCGTGGGATGGCTCTCGTTATGTCTGCTCAGTGTTTCTGGTAACTTGTTAATGATACCCTTTGAAGAGGTCTGCAGACATGGCGGCATAGTAACTTGATATTCTCCACCTTCCTGTTTGTAACAACACCACGTAAACTTGATCTTGAAATGTGGTGTGATTTTCTTTGGTGGATGTGGATTTTATCCTATAATTTGTTAGCTGATCAGGGAGCGATTGGTGGAAAATTTGAAATATTCCCGTTTGGGTTGTAGTGTATTCCATGGCTTGATTCTGTGCCCACAGCCTAACCTGAGTGGGATATAGTGATACACGCCTGTAATCCCAGCATATAGGAGGCTGAGGCAGGAGGATCATGAGTTCAAGGCCAGCCTGGACTACATAGTGAGACCCTGACTCCAAAACAAAACAATAAAACCCAAAAGCCCAACAGCCTTCAGGAAAAAAGTATTCTTTCTTTCTGTTTTTCTTTTCTCCACAGTACAAACCCCAAAGGCCATTTGTTTTGACCTATCAGTTATTTCATTCTTGGTCAAAGATAATCTGTGCCGGTGACTTAGAGAAGATGACGGGTCCCCGTGGAGCTGATGGATCTTAGAAATCCATGCTTCAGTGCCATCAGCTTGGGACTGAATCTGCGCAGCGAAGCATTGAGCAACACCCTGAATCCAGAGTCCGTTGTCTGTCCACTTGTCTTCATGCAGTCTGTTCTGGGTAAAGTGCCTCCCAGCACAATGAACTTGGCTGTGTCAGCATCTGGGAGGACAGGGATGGAAGTGCAGAGGAAGGCATCCAGGCTGGGCACGGGCAGCACAGGGCTTCCCAGACTGTGGGTGGATGACCTGGGCCTGACCAGGGAAAGAGAAATTCAGTGTCCGTGAGGTGAGGTAATGCCACAGTAACTACCCTATACTGAGAGCTTCCCTCTGCCAGGCTGTCGCCAGCCCAGGCATAGTTCCCGTCACCCCTCAGGCCAGCGGGGAGGGACAGCACCCTCCCATTTCACAGGGGCTGCCCAGAGAGGCCAGGGAAGGCAGCCCGGAGTAGCACACACCCTGCCTCCCGTGCTGCAACGAATGGATGGAATTGTGCACTTTTCTTCTTCAGAGGACTCGCATCAGTAAAGTCTTCCTCCCTCCACCCGAGGGACAGCTAGGGAGCCTGAAGATAAGCCAGGAGGAGGCCCCCAAGAGAAAGAGGAAGCTCTCTTCCAAGCAGGAGCCTGTCAGCAGTGGGCCCTGAGAGGCTGCTAGCAGCAAGAGCAGCTCCAAGAAGAAGAAAAAGTTCCAAAGAGCATCCCAGAAGGATGGGAAAGGACATTCCCTGGGGGGGGGAGGGCCATCCCAAGGTAACATTTCCCATCCCCAGCCACAAGCCCCAATTAAAACATTCACAAAAAATGAAGGAAGGAAAGTCAGCGTGGTAGCCTCAGAACCTGATAGAGTAGCTGCTCCTGGGGACCTGTGATTAGGGCTCAGTGAAAAAGCATGTGGTGCCCTTTACTCAAGAGGAGCAGAGCCAGGAGGGGGCGGGACCAGAAGGGGGCAGGGTGAGGAGGGGACAGCTCAGTACCTGCTCTGCTCCCAAGAAGCATAGGCTTGCTGGTGTTAGTGAGAAGTCACCCCACCCAGAGTTTCCTCCTGGGTTTTTATTCAGAAAAAAGGGAATATTGATCTGATTGCCCCCCCCCCAAAAAAAACCAACCAACTCTAGGAAAAGCGTAAAAAGG